CGCCTTAAGCTGCCCAAAAAACCATTCCTTTACTCCAATCCCCTCACTCATCCATTTATCTGCGGGGGTGGCTCCACTGCCTTCGATTGCTTCGATCCAGCTGGGGGTGTGAGGCTTTGGCAAAACGTTTCAATTGATTTGAACATTTATTGCTTCTGGGTTCACGTCATGGGACACTGCCCAGACATTCAACGGAAAGGTAGTCGAATTATTTCGTTGTTGCTGCCACCGCCGCCGCTCTGCTGCATGGGAAATAGTTTTTTTCTTTCCTACTCCTCTGGCTGCTGCTGTTGCTTTTAAATTCCAGGCAAGGTACAGAAATCAATGGGAATTTTCTTTTCTTTATTGGCATCTTGGCAGGATCTGGTTCAGGCTTTGAATACCGTGTAGTCTAGAGCGCAAGGCAATGATGTTTATGGGAGCAGTCTGGAGACTTCAAAGTCTTCAGAGAGCAAGAGGATAAAGGCAATTGGGTGTAGACCATGACTGAAATGAAGTTCTTAAAGTTATCTATAAGCTCCTAGGTATAAAATATTCGATTGATATACAATTTGACACATTTTCCTCTACTCTGTTTCTTTGGTTTTCCACATTTTCCATTTCTGTGTCAGGCCAATTGCATAAGAATTTCCAAATCAATTCACTTTGCTTTGCATATTTGCCTTTCTTTAGTTCAATTTTTGCCTTTTTCCAGCATAAATTAAACGTTTAAATATTTAGTTTTCCGAATCGGATATTTCGTTCGTTCCACTAAAAATAGCAGAAGAATTTCGCTGAGCAGAAATATAATCATTGTTCTGTTTATTGCTGCCAAGCATTCGCCATTCATGGCTTTAATTGCAGCCGAAGAGCATTTGGTAAACTAATTAAAATTCTTTTTGTTTTCGCCCTGTCCCTCCGTCGCTTTGCATATTCAAATCATTAAAGAAAAATATGCACAGCAACAAAAGCAGCATTTTTTTGTAATTTGGCTCAACTCAACACCTTTTCAACGAGGGGATGGTTGCTGCTGTTGCTATTGCTGTTTGCCTTCCATGAGAGGGGGCAACGTGTTGGCATTTGGAGTCTCGCTTCTCCTTTTTTTGTAGCTCTGTGCCCCGCAGCAAAAAACACAAAATAAAAAAACAAGAAAAACAATTTCAAAATTCACATAATGAACTCAAAGCCGTGCGAGAGGGTGAGAATCAGGGACGAACCGTCGACCGACAGCCATCCTTAAAGCCTGGCCAAAATGGCATGCCAGTTGGCAGTAAGCGAGAAATAATTATTTGCCGTGCTAAGCGAACATTTTTCACTCGAAATGCGTGGTGGGGCGGGGTGCGGAGTTTGCTGCGGCTCTGGCTGCGGCTGTGTTGGCCAGGAAAAGGCGTAACAGCCACAGCAAAACACAAATATGTTAAACAACTGCCTGATACGGGCAAACAAGCTAAAAAAATGAAAGCAAAACAAAAAAACCTGGCAAGTAAAAGTGTTTTTTCACCGCCCAACTACCACAGAATGGGAGGGAAGGGAGGAGTTTAGGCGCCTCTCCCCCAACCCACGCTCCTGCTCTCGCGAGTAATGTTGTCATTTTGGGGCCACTTTGTGATTTACCTGTGTGCCTGCGTGTTGTTCTCATTTTGCATGGAAATTTGTTGTCTAATTTATGTGATCCTAACGCTCTTTCACACCCAGCACAACTCTCTCTCCCTGTTAGTGTCCCTGTAATTTATGAAATTGCCATCAGTCCATGCTCTCACGTTCTCCTCCTCTCCCTCTCCCACTCTCGTCTCTCGTCTCTGACATTATGAATGTTTTTCAATTTTATTTATGACGTAAATTGTTAATAAATGCAGCAGGCCTCAGAACGTGACTCTCCTCGACATCTTATCGTTTACTGTCGAATGATTAATGTCTGGCATAAACGAATTGCATTTTAAATAAATTATTACGTATACGCAGCGCGTGGCAGGAGCGGAGCAGGCGGATGAGTGCTAATGAAGCTGCTGGCTATTTGGCAAACAACAAAAAATAAAAGAGAGAAAATGAATCCCTGCTTGAAGGAGCCGCAGCTGACGAAAGGGGCAGGCGTATGTGTGCTCGGGGAAAACTTAGTTGGCAGGAAAACTCTTTCTCGCTAGCAGCAAGAGCAGCAGCGGCAGCAGCAGCGGCAACGGCAGCTTGATTAAAATTTCATTAACAAAGAGCGTGAAAAACTTGCGGCATACTTTAAGGCCGTGTGGCCTGTGTGTGAGTGTGTGTGAGAGAAATCTGCGGTGCCACACAGCAACACACAGCCACACTCACACACCGAGGCCACATGCATGTGTTGGCCATGTTGGCGGCACATAAAACGCTTTGCTTGTTTCGAGGCTTCTTTTTTTCTCTCCGACTTTTTTCGCCTGAACGCTTCGTTTGTTTGCCAACTGGCGATGGAGTCTCCGACTCTGATGCGGCTCCAGGCTCCTTCCTCCTCAAGAGGCCCTACCCCTTAAAGCTTGTGTGTGCGGGAGTGCCTGTTAAATTGCTTGTTTATGTTTTCCCCGCGTTTCCTGTCAGCCCCGCAGCCTCCCGTCCACCATGCCACATGCGGCAATCACTTGAAAATTCTCATATGATTTTGATTTCTTTTAATTTGGAGAACATCTTTCCAGTCTCCTGGCTCTTGTTTACTTATTTCTTCTGTGCAAATATTTTCGTTAAGGCTTCTTGATTTTTGTTATCTGGAATTGTTATTCTTTTGCTGCTCACTTGAGCAAATTGAGAATTTGTAAATATTTAATGAGTCAGCAGCAACAACATCCTGTTGCAGCCTCCACAAAACGGGTAATTATGGCCAGTGGATAAAGTGGAGAATCTTATGCGGAGTCCATGCCCCGTACACCTGACAGCTGCAGCTACCTGGCTCTCGCTGGCAAACAATCGCCTTAACTGCATGCCATAATTATAATGCCAGCATCAGCGTTAATGCTCTCCTGCTGCCCCTGCACTGAGCGAAAATTCTCTCCGCATCTACTCGTATTTTTTGCTGCATAATTTCTCGCAGATTTTGGCTCGCTCTGACATCCTCTTAGCCGCGCTAATCCTTTGCCGGGCCAAACCTCACACCCCGAAGGCATGTCAAGCATTTAATTACTGGCCATCAGCACGGCTTAAAACCGACTGACCCACTCCTCCCGGCAGCCCTTCTCAGCGGGGAGGGGAATCCGCTTCGTTAAAATAATATTAAGCCAGCGCAAAAGGATCAAGAATTCATCAGCAAAGGAGCTTGTCCTTTTTGCTTTTTGCTTTTTGCCTTTTTCATATTTCTTGTTTTGCGCTTTCCCTTTTTGAAGACATTTTACGCAGAATATTTTCAGATATTTTTTTGACATTTTAATGAAAATATTTTGCGCAGGCACGCAGCAATTTTTTGGAGGTGGGAATGGGTGGGGCAAGGGGTAAGCAAAAAAAAAAGGGGTGCGAAATAATGACAAAAAGCAACAGCAAATTCAGAGGGGGGCTGCAAAAAGGGATTCTAGATTTGTTTAACCAGGAGGATTAGTGCTGTCTGTTTAGTCTGGGCCTCGATTGCTCTCTGTCCTCTTTCTCTTCCTCTTTAGTGCTGCGAATTGTCGAGAGAGTCGTTAAATTGTTTTCATTATCCTTGTAAGCCCCGCCAGCGAACCGTACCGAAGGACAGGGCCACCCGAGATAATAGCACACACTCTATCGCTCTTGCTCTTGCTCGCTCTCTGCCTCTCTCATTCTGGCAATTAAAACCGCAATGCAAATGAGCTGTGCTTAATGCGTACAGCACTGTGTGTGTGTGTGTGTGTGTGTGTGTGTGTATCGTACAGTGCCTTCGAATAGTTTGCGGTCTGCTGTGGAAAAATTTAATTGCACTGCTGGGAGCCGGGGAGCCAGAGCTGCCCTTAATTTCTTTTCGTTGTTCTCGTTTTGAAAAACGCTTAGGCCACGCAACCCACATGCAAAATAACGAATACAACAAAATTTTGAATTGGATTTGTTGTTTTGCTGTTGTTAAGGGAATTTTAGAGGGGGGTTCCACCCCATTCCTATGATTTATCCATTTAGAGAGGGTTCTTCATGGGGTTTCCCCCATTCAGAGCGCTCATTTCTCCATTCAGTTGAGCAAACAATCGACACACGATGCAGTCTGTACCCACCCAGTACCTTTCTCTCTCCTGTCGTCGTTGTCGTGTTTCCGTTTCATTTGTAATTAATTAAATTACTTCCGCTTAAACTGCGCTGCAGACACAGGAACCAGGAACCCCAAGCCAGAGCCAGCAGAGCTAGAGCTAAAGCTCGAGCCAGGAACAGGTCCCAGCCCGTCGACTTCTCAATTACGTTTCAGTCATCCCACCCAGCCTTGTTTATCCTTCCCAGTCTTAGCTCTGTCTGCCACTCCCGCTCGCCTCCTTAGACTCTGCGAAGTAATTAAGAAGACATTTCACCCGGGCATCCTTTAATCTGTGCGTTTTATTTGCGGCATGGCATCGTCTTCTTGTTTACTTCATTGCGTCTAGTCCAGCACCCACTAGTCCACCGCTGGCGATGGCCTCTCGTTTAGTTTCGTGCTAGCTTTGGTCGCTCCTTGCGGACACGATGCCATCTCTAGTTTTTCATGGTGCAATCTTGATGATTTGCTTTGGTTTTGTTTAGTGTCTGTGGCTTGGCGCCTTGTTCCGGCTTCAGCGCTGTCTACCCCCCCTTGGAGCTGCCTGGAGCTGACTCTCTCTCTCTCTCTCTTTAATCTGTTGCCAGTGGACTGAACTGGTTGTTATTTCGTGCCCAGCGTTCGCTTGATTAGTCACCTAATGAGGTGTTGACTATGAACGTCTAATGATTGCTATGGAATAGCAGCCCCCCCACAAACACACACACACATGTACATCCCCTACGCAACACACACACTTGAGCAATGCTTTGGCTTGATTTTAATTAAATCGAACTCTTCTCTTTGCAGCATCCTCACATCTTCTTTCATCTGTAAACGTGGCCCACTGAAGGAAGGCTCAATGAAAAGTTTGGTTGCTCCCCCCGAACCAATGTGAGTGCACCCAAAAAAACGCTTCACAAATATCAGTCTAAAAATTATAAAAACTAGCCACGAATTTGCATTGAAATTTTCCCTTTCGTTCTATCAAAAAACAAGCGAAAAAAATTGTAAAAACAAAAAGAGCTCTCGCTTTCCGCTGAAACTTTCAGTGCAAAAATTGTTGGTTTGAAATTAAATTTTAAAATTGCAAAAAGCAAACGAAAACGAAACCGAAAACATGTTCTACAAAATCGACCATATTTTTTCACTCTTTATTTACATGAAATTTGACCCGAAACGAAACGAAATTGGCAAAAAACAACACAAAAAACTCCAACAATTTCCCCGACTTCAATCTTATGCGAAAATGAAAATTGGCAACTAATTGGCGAAAATTCTGCTTTCAACTGTGTGGAAAATTGGGGAAAATTGTTGGGGCTTCTGGAATCAATAATCGCATAAAATGGAAAATGCAAAAATGAATAAAACAATAATCTGGTTATTCTGTATTCCCAATCACAACAACAATAAAACTCTACAACAACAACAACAACTCCAACAACATCATCATTTCCATCATCATGCGAAAATCCCTGCGAAAATCCTGCTATTTATGCGCTTTATGCGGGTCTGACGTCATGGCTGGGTTGCTCATCTCTCCCCACCGCTCTAACTACCAACCCACACAACACCCTGTGCCCACTCTCCCTCTTCTTGTCTCTCTCCCTTTCTCTCACTCACTTTCTATTCCTATTTATGTGCATTTTTGCGGCTTCTCCCCCAAAAATTGGTCTCGTCTTTTATGCGTTTTCATTTGCGTTTTCGCTTTCAATCGCTGCCTCGTGCCCAACCACCCACTGCATGCCTCCCACCCCGCTCTGCTATCTGCCCATTTTCATTTTGATTTTTTGCTTCGTTTATGCTTCACGCTTTTGCATTCTTGTTTTGCTTTCCCTCTCCGCGTGTCCTTCGTTGCCAATTTCCGCTTGAATTAATTCTGTGTTTAAATCTGCGACTCCTCGTCGCTGTCCTTCGTCCTGCGCCGCCTGCAGTTTGCGGGATTGAAGCCGGCAAAGAACCCCTGCGGCTGGAGCACAGCCTCACCAGAGTGCCCCAACTCCCCTCTACCACCCACCGACCCCACTCTAGGCAAATTTAATAAAGGCCGCCCCGAAGCCGAGTCGTTGAAAGAGCTTCGTCTGGTGGTGAGTGGTGCCGATGTCCTGTATTTTTGGGGGCGACACGCAGTGCGACAAAAGCCGCCCGCAGCGTTTTTATACGCGCACATAATTCAGAGTGGGAAAACACTGCCCTGGCCCTGCCAAAAGTTAATGCCCAAAAGCAAAGGGAAGCCGCCGCAATGATAACCAACAATAATTTGGATTATGAGCAGACCAGCAGCAGCAGCAGTGGCAGCAGCAGCGGCAGGACAAGCAACGGGGGAGCATCGACAGCCACCAGAACAGCAGCATCACTCGTAGCATCAGTCGTGGCAGCAGCAACAACCACAATGACAACAGGCAACAATCGGAATGGCAGCACCAGCAGCAGCAGCAACTCCTCCCCCACGGCCGACAATTCCAACTCAAATTCAAATTCAAATTCGAATTCCAACTCCAATTCAAACTCTTATTTCAATCGGTTCGACAATCGCATTGCCGCCAATCTGGCTGCTGTGCTGACGGGTGCTGGGGCCCGCTTTAGGTCCTCCTCCTGCAGCAATCGCCAGCAGCAGCATCAGCAGCAGGCGACCAACAGCAACACTCCACGCTCCCCGATGCATGTCTCGACCATTAGCAGAGGTAAGCACGGTCTCGGACTGGGCGCTCCCTCATCGCCAGTCACTCTGGGACGTCGCCGGCCACTGCAACTCTTCACGCACGCCAATCTCAAGTGAGTAGCCCTCGAAACGCGCTTCGTGTAGTAGTTTTCCCCAAAAGCTTTAATCGCCATTCATCAGACAAACACACACACACACACAGACCAATACACTATCCCTTTGTAGCTCTAAGCATTCCTCCTGATATATGGTTCCCAACAAATCTATAATCCCACAGCTGCAATGACAACGAGAAGGTGGCCCAAACGCCCAGCTCCGATGAGGACAACTCACCCACAGAGCTGAACAATTGCAAGCGGCTGACGGACAAGCCTCCACTGGTAAGTGGGTTGAATATTTTGTAGGTTTAGGATTTGCTTAGCAAAATGTATTACAAATATTTCCCCTCCCATTATCCCATTGAGGAGATCAAACATACTCGCATTTGATGGCTTTGGCATTGGCTTTCGGCTTTCGGCTTTGGCGTTGACTTTGATAAGGGTGCAATCACTCCCAAACGTTTATTGGTTTTTTGTGTGCCACTCCTTCGAAGTCTTTTTGGGGCCACGAATATTTTCCAACGTTTCTTTTTTTCACAGCGCTTTGTTATGAATTATTGCATGGAGGAGGAAAAAAGTATTTCTTAGACGAAGAACTTTAGACAAGTTTCGGCTACGCGCTAAGAGCTGGGCGAAAACCCTTGGGGTACTTCTTACAGACCATTTGCTGAATTGCTTGTGGATTTTTCTACGGTTACTGCTCTTCTTTCTGTGTGTGTCATAACACGTAGATGTCGAAGAGGCGTCCCACATCCCGAAATGTTTATCAAATGTTTCGGGCCCGGCCTGTTCTTTGTCACGTGAAGGGCGTGAGCCAAAAGTTTACCAATGCAAAACTTTAGCCTTTAGCCCAACGTTGACGATGACTTCGACTCGTGTGGCACGTTGTTTTCATAAATTCAACGCCTTAAATATTCATACACGTATATGTCTGAGTGTGTGTGAGTGTATATGTAGGTGCTCGAAGAGAGTCTCGGCAGCTGTGCTCAGTCGGGCATAGTCTATGCGATAAGTACGTGAGAGTTTATTCATGCTCGACTCCTGCACTCGACTCGACTCGGCTCGGCTTCCCGTACTCGTACTCGTATGTTGTGGCACGCTGCGTATACGTTATGTGTTTGTCTTATTTATGGCAGCAATGCGACTCGACTCGATTGCGCATTATGGTGATTACGTCTGTAAACTAATGGCCGCAACCTAAATGCCTACAGACACAGAAACAGAGAGGAAGAGCAAACTGCAGGGACCCGTAACGCTGGGTCGAATCAAATCAAATCAAGTCAAGGCCAAGTCAAACAACCAAAGACCAGAAAGCAGCAACCAGAAACCGAAACGAGAACACAACACTCTCAGAAATTGAAATCGTATATCGGGGAGCATCCGGGAGCATCGTGGGGCAACCATATTGAAAGCGAAAAGCAATCAGTTGCCTCTAATGGCAAACCATAAATATTGTCAATAGGAATGCCATGCAAAATGCTTGCCAAGGACACTGCTGCTGCTGCTGCTGCTGCTGCTGCTACCCGTTTTCCAGCCTGACATTTCCCATATGTCGAAAACCGAAACAAAAGACGAGAAAAAAGGGTTGCAGGCTTTCGCTTTTGGTTTCGAGTATTTTTCATATTCTTGGCGTGTATCGCCCCTTGTTTTGTCAATAAATCAATTTTGGCTATAAACATTTTTTTTGCCGACAACAGCAAATAACACGCATACGCGGCACATGGCGGGCAGGAGCAGGCACGAACCAGGAGGCATATCCTTTTGTTTTGCATAGTTTTTTTGCTGTTGTTGTTGTTTGCCACTCTGGGGTTTCCATTTTTTTGCCATCGTTGTGTGGTTCAACCAACATACTGCCTGTCGCGCCCGCCCGCCCTGCCTGCTGCCTGCTGCCTGTCAATAACATCATTCTGTTGCAGGGTGCGGCCCGATAAGCAAATTAATTTTTGCTTCCCCTTGCGGGAGGGGGGACTGCTCTGTGAGGGGCTGTGGGGGGGCTCGTTATATAGAGGGGCGTGATGCTTCCCTAATTGTGCCCAACAGGCAACTTGCCTTCCTTGTCCTTGTCGTCGTGGCAGTCGTCTGCTGCTGCTACCAGTGCTCCTGCTGCTGCTGCTTGGCTGGCTGATTCAATTTCAGATAAGCAAAATAAAGCAGCAGCCAACTGCTGCACATGCGACCAGAGACTGGAAAAGTGACTGCCACCAACAGGGGACTGGGAGGGGAGTGACACCCAGTCATGAGTCAAAGACAAATGCGTTGCCACATTATGCAGTTTGCTCTGTCGTTGCTTGCCGAGTCTGAGTCACCCGCATATCCTTGCCCCAGCTGCAGTCTACTGCAGCACTCTTCCGCTCTGTCCTCCCTCTCTCTCTCTCTCTCTCTCCGTGTCCCTACTCCAACTCTGGCCGGAAATGACGCGCTGTCTGTCATGGCTGACTCCACTTCCTCTTCCACTGATTCCTCCAACTTCCGCCTGGCGTTGATGCATCGATGCTGTTGACTCGACGCCGCTAAATGTTTGTTTAGCAACTGCAAGTGCAACTCCGCTCCGACATTGAGCGACAGCCATCAGCATGCCACATGTGGCATGGCCTGGCCTGGCCTGGTTTGGGTCGGAGTCCATGTCGCTTCTGATCCTGACTCTCGCTCGTCACGCCTACGCCCATGTATCATGTGTGAGTGTTTTCCTGCACGGAATATTTGTGTATTTCCAGCTCAAAAGCCATAAATAATATTTTGTGGGACACGCCCACACACACACAAAACGCCCACAAACCAGTTGGTGGATTTGATTTAAAACTGGCCACCCTTTTGCCTTCCCTCCGCACCCCGACAGAGCCCGACAGCTGAGGGATCCCTTTGGCTCCTTAGCCTTTTGCCAGGCTCCAGCGCCCAGCGCCCTGCTCCAGCTGCAGAGTTTATTAAATTTGCATAAATGTGGAGCATTTTGCGGCAAGTGTTGGCTGCTGTTGTTCTGTTTTTTTGTTTGGGTGCTGCTGTGAGTGGGTGCACGTGCCGCCTGCTTTCTGGGAGGAGCACAACATCTGCCACTAATGTCCAGCTCGGTGGCAGTTCATTAAGGCAACAGGCCGTACAAGGCAATTAGTGTACATCTTGGGGAAGCCCCAAGAGCAGACCCCACTCCTCCAAAACCCAATCCCAAAATGAGCAAAAGCCGCACAGCAAATAGCAAACAAAAAAGGAGAGACGCGACTTACCCTCCAAAAGAAAACACCTGGTGGAAGAACGATTCATTTCATCATCAGGCAAGCAGGTGGGGTAAATCCAAAAGAAATGAACTCCACACCCACACCGGGAATCCCCCACACACACAGGCATACAAGGCCGCAAATCAGTGTGCAATGCGCCGTGAAATATGCAAACAATGGCGAAGGCTTTCGCTCGTAAGCAGCAACCGCTCTCCCGCTCTCTCTCTTTCTATCTAAATTATGCAGCAATGGGCAAACAATTGCTGTCAGACTCCAAGCAGGTACTACAGTACTGGAGGAAGTAGAATAAAGCCGCTGCCACAGCCACCAACTCATTGTCAATGTCGCCTTAAATTATGCCACACAAAACGACCCAAAGAGAGGTAGGTAGGGAGAGTGCTGGCATCTAGACTGTAGTCTAGTTTCGGGGCAGACACAAGAGCATTGTAGCAGAAGAGCCAGGCAGACTTTTTTCAAAGCCACTGACCCCGAAAACGGTGGCGAAGCACACGAAGGAGGCACACGGAGGATCTCGGAAACATGCGGCGCACAAGTGCATCTGAATTATCGCCGGAGACTTTTACCCTTCCACTACACTACAGTAGGGCTACACATTTGTCATGCATTTTGGGCAAAGTTAAGAGTATTTCCTACTGCTAGCTGTTACAGAGCATTCCTTAGTCGGCTACGCTCTTCCCCCACTGTGCAAAAGAGCAACCAGCATTCAACACTTGCTCTACATAGTTCTCTATTCCATTCTTGTTTCATTTTCCTGCTCTCTTTTTTTTTTGGCTCATGCTACTGCTGATTTCTGGTCCTCGGTAGTCGCTGTCCTGCGGCACAATTCCGCCAAGCATGCCACAGCGGCCGCATCGCCAACGCCTCGACTCGACTCGCCATTTGCAATGCAACATTTTAGACGGCTGCAATGTGAGAGACACACCACACAATGGGTGGAACAGAGAGGGCGAGAGAGAGTCTCGAGTCTGCCACGAATTTATGCGCCTTTCCCTTGTGCACTTTGCACTCTTTCTTCGTTTCCTGCCACTAGCCCACCCACTCCATCGTTCAGCTGCTACTCTGCCACTTTTTTCGCTGCCTTTGTTGCCATCCCAGGCCAGGCCCAGCCCAGTAATGCCTAGTCCAAGCATCCGTTTCCTGTTTAAGTGCCACCAGCCGAAAGCCGAAAAAAATAGAGAGAAAAGCGAAGAGAAAAACTTTCGACTGCCTTTCCTCTGCTGCCTTTCGGTGGCGCATTTTGCCAGCATTTTGTCTCGTTGCGGTTCTTGGTAATAAATTCTTTCCCTTTTTTTTGCCTCCCGTCCGCCCACGTCTGTGGCTGCGGGGCCCACGCCTACGCTGCAGCCCCGCCCCTGACTGCATCCTTCTCCTGGCCCTGGCCCTGGCCCTGGCCTGATCCTTGTCGGCTTACAAGGTGTTTAAATTGTAGTTAATTTTGTTGCCACTTGAACGCCTTTGCCTTTGCCATTGCCTTTACCTTAGCCATCGCCATCTACATCTTCATCGTCTTTGATCTTCCTACTTTTCGGGGGATTGCTTAAAGCTTCAAGTCAACTCTTCGATTGTCGATTTCTGTCCACAGGTCAAACGCTTAACCATGGGTCTGCTGCGTCACAACGAGGAGTCACGCCCACTGGTGGGCAACATGACGCCCTTGAGGGCTCCTCTGGACAGCCAGCCGGTCTACTCGAATGGCTACATCAACGAGGACTCGTACATCGACAGCAAGTTCGGTGACTCATGCCGGCAGTCCCTCACAGCCATCCCCATGCTGGACAATGTAAACCTGAATGACAACAACGAGTTCAACCTGAAGAAACGATATCTGCGAGAGACGAGCAGCGGTAAGAACTACACATCGACACATTGGGTGTTGCCTGCATCATTTACTCTCTTCTGCAGCCAACTCCAGTCCAAAGATCTTTGCGAATCGCCTGCGAATGAATCAGGGCGGAGCCAGTGCCCAGCGGAGCAGCAGCCTGGCCAACACACACAGCAATGTGGGCGCCGACGAGGAGGAGGAGCTGGACCTCAAGGACGCCTGCTGGTATCAGGCGGGCATTTCCCGCGACATTGCCGTGGAGGTGCTGCAGAGCAAGAGTCCGGGCGCCTTTCTGGTGCGCAAGAGCAGCTCCAAGCCGGGCTGCTACGCCCTGACACTGCGTGTGCCATCGCCACCAGGCCCAAAGATAGCAAACTATATCATTCTAAGATCCCCCAGGGGCTACAAAATTAAGGTAATAGGAACTAGTTGGAATCTCTCGTGGAGTTTACTCATTAAACCTTCATTCCCTTAGGGTTTTCGCAAGGAATTCTCCAGCCTTAAGGCATTGATCACACATCATTCGGTGATGCCGGAGCTGCTGCCCGTGCCGCTGGCCATGCCGCGACCCACAAATATCTCCTCATCGCGGCGGAATCTCGACGACTTTGATACCTACGACTCGCTGCAAATGCTGCTCAAGTATCTGCGCGCCAAGAACGCCGAGACGGAGCAGCAGCAGCAGTAGCTAATGGCGGACATTGAACATCTGGTAGCACAAAATTACATTTAAGTTCTAAATTATGCGCAAGCAAAAGAATTTTGCTGGCATTCGATACCATGAATATGTGATACTCTCTACGAAAGAAAAGAAGGAAAGATAACCACAAACAAACACACAGAAACTGCAAATGAAACGCCTAGCTGATAAATGGTGAAAGTATTTCTAGTTTAGTTTAGTTACTTGATTTAAGTTTGATTGCGTTTTGAAATGTGTGAAAGAAAACTAACTAAAGCAAAGGGAAAGAAAATTATCTATAAATTGTATTGTAGATTTGTTGGCATTCCAAGAATTCACAGAATTCCATGAACTTCATTCATTGAAAGGAATAATATTTGCAATTAAAGGCATGGCATATTTTCTTCTCAAACTTACCCATAGTTTTGCTCCACTTCCATTCAGGATTTTCCAACTGCAAAAAAATTAAAAATATATTAAGAACAAATGAGAAAAAGAAAAAACGAAAAATCTATGTTAAATGTTGTTGCTGCTTTCAATTGTTAAGCGTAAATAAAAATATATATCTAATTAAAATGCATATTTTAAATATAAGCAAAATGCTAAATTGAAATTGGAAATTGGCAAACCCTAGGCGAAGCGATGTGAAACGAAATGTATGTAAATGGATCCCGAAAATATATGTAAATAATTCACTACCGTAACATAATTGAGTAAATAAAGTTGTTTAATTTATAATAAAAAAAAAAACAAAAAGAACCTGGAAAACAGAAGGAGAAACAGCGGGAAATAACAATCAATTTCTCGTCTCCTGCCTCATTATGCAAATTGGTCGCTAGGGCAGCTGTGTGTGGATATACATTTTCACACGTTAATTATTATTATTATACGGCGACACAGTTCTCCATATTTATGGCCATGGAAATTCCATAACATTAAAGTTCGCTCTTCAATGCCATTCCGATAGGAGCCCCCGCGAGCGTTTGTTCTATGGTCTAATCACCGTCATTATACGATTTTAATTTGCTAAACTTTTAATCGAAGAAAGCAAAGAAAATCAAGAGCGGAAGGAGCCGCAGGACTGGAAGGAGCGGGCCAGGAAGGATGGAGACAAATCGAAAGTCTGTCCAGCAGCGTAATCCCTTTTTTTATTTTTAATTGCAGCCATTCCCAAACACACATTTTTTTCCTCCTTTTCTTTGCTTCTTGTGTGTGTGTGTGTGGCGAAATCTTTTTCAATGGAAAACTTTCTGGCTAGCGGCTATTTTCCGACCCCCTTTCCTTTTCCTTCTCTACTTTTGTTCAGTGTCAAAGTGTTGTCTACTTTTCTGCTTGGCTCCCCATCTGGGGTTTCTTTTTTCTGTGGCATTCAGGTTCGTTGGAAACTTTTGCTTTGTTGCAATTATCGGCATCGCTACACACGAAGGCGTGCGTAAATGAAATAAAAGTAAAGCGAATAAAAAAAGCAAAGCCAATGCCTGCCATTTAAATAATTTGAAAATTGCCAAACGGCAGCAGCACAAAGTATTCATGGGGAAAAAGTCTTGAAAAGTTTTCCCCTGCTTTTTGCACTTTATTTGTCAATTATTGCGGGACAAACAAACGGGCAGGAAACCAGCGGGGGCCGCTCGGGGGATGTCCTGTCATTCAGTTGCGATGTTTTCTGACAATTCTCCCTCTTAAATATTTAATAAGCCAAAGTGGTCGAGTAGCAGCACAACAAACATCGTCAGACGTCGAAAATCAATTACACTCTGCAATGCCTACTTATCGGAGGAGCAGAAATAATTCCGTGGAGGGTCGGGAGAATAATTCTTAAGTGGCTTAAGCGTTTTGTCTGTCATCTGTCGCCAAGAAAGTTTTTTAATTGAACATTTTCAATGCGCTGATAGCGCAGACAAACGCGGCCAATCGGTTGAAGGACAATGGCAGATGGAGCTCAGATTGCGTTTGGTTCCCCATTCATATTTACCCCAGAGGAGGTTTTTGCGCTCTTTTGCAAACGCTTTTCATTAGCCGCATTTCTTTGTTCACCAGCAGATTGTCCGTCCGTCCCCTGGCTGCTGCAACTTCCACTGCAGAATGGCAGAAATTATTGCTTTGCTTATTTGCGTTGCGTTCTCTTCATTTGTCAGCGAGGACAGTCGCGAGGGGGACAGCCGATCCCCTTTGTTCAGGGCCACACAAAAAATATGAAAAGAGATTTTCCCTTTTCCCTTTTATATTTGAACTTTTTCATTAGGCTAATTAAAAATGTCTGTGGCGGGTGGTGGGAGGAGTGAGTGTTTGTCGAATGTCTTGAAAGTTCTTCGTTTTTGGCTGGCAATTGTAACACATGGCGTATGCGCAATAAGTGCTTTATGGCTGCGAGGTAAATGAACTTTTATACCGAATGGATTCCCCCTGCCACTGCCTGCAGCTGCACGAAACAAGGAAAAAAGGTTTACTCTTGCCTGTGGCTAGCAAATCTTGTCCCCAAACTTGCTAGGCTCTTTGCATCTAAAGTAACTTTCGCCTGTTCCATCCATAAAAATGTAAACTCCAGCGAACATTTTTGTACATTTTGTGTGTCGCCTGGACTGGCATTAAGGCGACAATTGCCAGAGTTCTGATCTGTCCCTGCCCTGTCCTGCCATGCTCCTCGCTTACCATTAAAACTCCAACAATGAGCTGGCGACAGAAAATTACGGAAAACAATAAAAAAGAAGTGAGGACAGCAAAGTTTTCCACTTCCTTTCCTTTTTTGTGCTGCTCTTTTTTTTGGCAGGAATACGCTCAAGTGTCAGTAACAGTTTCCATGCAAATATTGTCTGGGGAATGTTGTTGGACCGTCAGGCAATGGCAATGGCAATGGCAATGGACGGACGACTGTCGCAAAAGCGGGCCAAGAAAGCGGCTAAATGTAATGCCACATCAGAGATTAAAGTGCTCTGCAGATAGCCAGCAATATCCTGCACCCCCTTAAAGCTTTAGGTCTAGTATGGACAATTGCTAATCCGTTTAAATGTCTGCACTTTGGGGGATTTCCATTACTCTCTACAACCCGTCCCACCCACATGTTCAATTACAAAACTGCAGCAGCCGAGGGTGGAGCGGCAGTTCCGATGCCGATTAGGCACAGAGCCCACTGCCTCGCTGTCTCGATGTCTGATGCCCTAAACAGAACAGGACACCTCATTAATTTGCCGGACTGCGGCACTAACAATAAAAGCTATTTTGGCTATTTGGCTCATTGACTGCCTGATTTTATGGCCCCCAACTGCAACCAAGTAGAGCCATCGTCTCCGTGTCCAAAAACCAACATCAACATTGACCCACGAGCACAGTTTGTCCTGCTGCAGCCTGCACCACTGTTGCCAAATATGTTTTTGTGGCATTTTTGGCCAATTGGCAGACAGAGCAGACGCTTAGCCCCGTTCCGCGTGCGTCGACGTTGCCCTGCCCCATGGCCAATTGAATGCGGCAGACGTGAACGTGGCAGATGTGGATGGAGGCAGCTCATTATGCCATAATGTTTGGCCACACCCAACAAGGAGCTCTGACCGGGTTTACTCTTGCTTGCCTAACCCAAATTGCATGCTATTGACCAGATTTCAACTTATTTCAGAGTGACGGAGCACTCGGAGAGTGAAGTTTGCTGCAACTGTGACGGCTTCAGCTCCGCTGGCACTTGAAAACTTTGCGCAAAAAAGAAACACTTTTATGCTGCCTGCCTGCCAGCGCAGTTCGATCAACTAAAAGGACTGGCTGCCATGTAAAAATATAAAAACAAAAGCACAAAGCAATAAAAGCGTAAACGGAAAGTATTAACAAAATACCCTAAGAGGAGGGCATGCACTGGTGTTTGGGTATATGAATTCCAGCTAAGATTTGGCTGCAGTTTCAACTGGGTATCTTTAAGCTCACAAGAAGTCTCATTGTCTTACAAGTCTCTCTCTCTCTTTCGACTATCAATATCCCATTTGGTCTCATTTATGCACACACACCCACTCGTAACATATCGGAATCTGATCAAATCTTGTTCAGCAAAGGGGCTGCTGGCATTCGATTGCAGACGGTGCTGCTGCTTAGCTTCTTAGCTTCACATTCGATGCACAGTCAGAGGCGTACACTGGGGGAAAAGAGTGCCACAAAGCAGCAACTAAACTTATCCACTTTGAACAGGGGGATTCTCTCTCTCAGTGTGCCCACATGCTTGGGCTTGCGCTTGGGCTTGGGCTTTGGGCTTTGGGCGTGCCACTTTAATGCACTATGGCTGCTAATGCAACAGCAACAACAAAAGCAAGCGGCTGTGTCGGGGGAGCAGACGTAGCCTAGTGTGGCAGGTCGTCGTTGTCGTTGTCGTAGGTGGTGAGGCGAACAAAAGCCAGTAAAAGCAACAGTAGAACAGTTTCTGCTTTTCGCCTTTGCCTCTCTCCCCGCCTTATCACACACACACACTTTCGAATCGCACATTCATTTCTGCTGTTCGCCATTGTTGCAGCTGCTGCTTTTCTACTTATTGTTGTTGCTGCACACACACACACACACACACACACACCCACTCTCGGTGCGGGGTGGAACTTGCCGCTGGCGTGGCTTTTTGTTTAATTCGTTTTTCTATTGTTCACAGCCAAGAACTGTAGTCCAACGGGGGCTTTGGCAACATTGTAAAATGCATGAGAATGTGTTTAGCCAACTCGCTATCTGGTCCCCTCTCTCTGTTTCTCTCGGTGGCATGCAGATTTTTGCATTTTCCAAGCATAAAAGTTGAAAGCGACATTATTGAATATGCGTTGTCCCGTTGTCCCATTGTTTGACACTCACACACACAGAGGCCCAGGAGAGACAGAAAGAGAGAGAGAGAGAGAGTTAAAGCCAAAGCTTAGTGGATTCTTATGCCCATTGCAATTTATATGCCACTTGCACACACACACACTACACACAGGACACATTAAAGACCAAAATGGCCAAAAAGTGCGACAAAGAGTGGAAATGGCATGGAAGGGAATCGATTGTTTAAGGTCAGACTGATGGAACTGCGCTATCCGGCGAACCCATACCCCTGCCACCCCCCTCTTGCCAGTACTCCCTCTGCTTATTTATGCTTTGTTTGTCGCTTTTGGCTAATAAATTAGCAGCTTTACCTTTTGGCCCAACTGCAAACCAATAGCAATTTATCGCAGCCACAGAGAAAGGCACGTAGCAAAGGCACGGGTACAGGATGTGCCAGGCTCCTGGATCCACTAGGATCGAGCAGTCGAAAGGGGTTCTCGGTTGCCACAGCCAATGTGCTCGCCTTATCGCCGGCTTAAGCGGCACGCACAGGTGAACTGGCTACAGGCTGCTGGCTTCTGGCTGCTCGTTCCTGGAGCATGGGTAAATGGCAATAGTTGTTAGCCGAACGCTTTTAGCCTGTGACTAACGATGGGGCGACAATAAAAATTGCCCTGGCAATTGGCACATTGCGGCTGCAAGTTAAAAGGATTTCCAATTTTAAAATGATGGCCCCTAGACAGGGCGGCGCTGGAGGGTGGCAGACAAACAGAGAAAGTTCTAGGCCAACAAGTTTCATTGATTTTAAAGTATTTTCCAACAAAATGTCAAAGTTATTGCCGAACAAATTGAAAAAACTGCAAAAACTTTAGCAAAAACATAATTCAAAATACAACATTCGAATATTCAGAAAGAATATTTAATATTTATGGCATACCAAAGGAATTCTAAAACATTTACTGCTCTAAGAACCTGAAATTCAAGATTTTTCTCTACCAAAAAATTAATAAAATTCCCCATAAATTCCCCGATACTTTTGCTCAAGTGCAACAAGCTGCCCTGCCCAGGAGCAAACCCAAACAAAAGATGTATTTCGATTGCGTGCAGGGGAATAGAAAAGAAAAGTCCTCGTGGAGATTCGGAAACGCTTGCCAAGATTTATCGTGCGTCCATTACAAGCGGAAATTAAGCGCGGCAGGTCGCCTGTGCCGGAGCGAGCGTGCGTGAAAGCGTTTTGCCGGCCAGATCCGTCCAGACCCTGTCCAGATACTCCCCAAAGTAACAAGCGAACAAGTAACATTCCGACAGGCCAAAGCAGAGCTATTGTTTTCGGTGCTCTGCCCCGGAGAGTCTCCGCTCTCCGTGTCGTGGTCTTTTCTGTGCTGTTCTCCGTATGCCAGTCACGTGGCACGCAACGACAACTTGGGATTTGTTAAGTGGCGCGTCGTTTTGATGTGCGGAATGTTTAGCGAAAGTCCCTTTCCCCCTCTCCCCCTCTCTCTCTCCGTTTCCTTTTTTTTTTTGGTTTTTCTGTAAAGTCCATCACGTGTCCCGGATATTTTGCACATAACTTGTTTCAGCATTTTATTGCCAACTTCCCTTTTCCCCTACCTTCTAATGCACTGGGAATGTCTTTTGTTTTTAGACACCCGCCCCTGTCCACAGAAAGCCGCAGTCACCTTGCGGTTAATCGTCCTTCGCGAATCCAAAAACTTCGAATCGAACGAACGCCGGGGAATGGTGGTGAATGCCACTCGAGGAGGCACTCCATCAAGCAGTGTGGCAGTCGCAGTGAGCCATTGCTGATTCGATTTTCCGATGTGTACCTTTGCTTTTAGTGATTGAAATCGCACATTTTAAGTGAAAAAGCGCACACAGAAGTGCACTCAATCATTCGTCACGTGATTCGGTTGGGTGTGTTGGGGGAGTCACAGGGATTCCGACTACTGTCACACACTCTGCCACAACCACCCACCGACTGACACTTTTGTGCTCTTCCATTTTATGTCCTTGTTCTGGCGCTGCCAATTGTGCAAATGTTTTTCTTAGCGGACATCAAATGAAAAGTGTTGGAGCTGCTGCTGCTGTGTTTATATAAAAGATTACATCCACCGGATGAGAAATGGAGACACAATTGTTAAGGCAAGAGAGGGAAAAGCTCTGTCGGTGATAATGTGCCACGTAAATGCTGTGACTGGCAATGTTGTGAATGGGAAACCAATCCCAGGGTCTCAACTTTAAAGCGAATTGTGGGGCACAGAAGTAAAATTCCAATGGGGAAAACTTTTTTCGGAGGGAGAAACTTTTCTAATTTGCGCATTATGAAAATTGGGTCGAAACATAAAGTTCCAACAGCACAGGCACAGGGCACCGAAAAGAATTAAGTGAAAAGCAATTTTTGAGCCTACCAACAAAGAGGAGGAAAGGAAAATGGTAAGGAAGAGTGGAGAAAACTTTTGCATTAAGAAAATTAACTGAGATTAAGTGCTGGCTGCCGGGAGGGGAGTTAACTTTCCTCCCCGATGTCAGGATGAATGGAAAATTGCAACCATTTTCAAGGCATTTAACCATTTGTCACATACACAGACCCTCACACACACACGGACACACTTCGTAGCCGGAAGTGAGCATCGGCAATAACGGAAGCAGAGAACCCAACAACAAGACACATGAAATTGGTTAAGGGCAGAGAGGGGCCGAGGGCTCTGGCGGGGTTTATTTGTTGCCTGCCACACTTTGGTTGGCTGTTTGCCGTCGTCGATACTAATCTAATTTTATTGATATTGACACAATTTCTGCAGATTTCCGCATAAACATAAAAACAGAGCTCCACGCACCAAAACCTCCAAAGGTTTCAGCCTCAAGTAGTAGAAAAACAACGACACCAGCCAAAGACACCAGCAGAGGGAACGCGGAGTAGAGGGACGAAGTGGATCCATTCGAGGCACGCAAACAAATGGTATCTAATAAAAATTGAACAAAGAGCAAACAAAAGTTCTGCCACTTCTCAATGGAAGTCAAACACAATGCTTGGCAGAGGAGTGCTGTCGGGCATTTCCTTTGCAGCAATCGCGCGAATACATAACATAGATTTCCAGAAACATAAAAAAGTTTTGGATAAGAATTGTGGCACAGTATTGTTTCAGTGGCAATTGGAAGATATGAAATTAATACCCGAAAGCATAGAAAAATGTTCACAAAAGTGCCAGAAAGAGCTACACCAGAACAAAAATTGTATTTAAATATTCAAAATAAATAAACTTCAACTCAAATATTTCTTGGAAATACTTTCTACGATTTTTCAATTAAATATTAATTTGAAATGGTAGTAAAATCTATTGAATTTCAAAATATTTTTATTCAAAAAAGAAATATTGAGCAGGGTTTTTTTTGTACCATTATTTTGCTCAGAGTGTGGGAAATCCCCAAGGTAAAAAGCAGATAAGAGCGGGTTAAGATCATCATTTAAAGATAGCGTATTTGCGCAGAGTACTTAGATTAGGCTAATCAATTGATTCTCCTGCTGCAAAATAAAATCCAAAACAAAATATGTTTGGATGTTTCGCAATAACTCAATAAATTACTTGAAATCTCTCGGCACTACTCGGAATCAGATACCGAATTGGATGTGTGTAAAACTTAATAATCTTTAATTAAATAAATAACATATTAAAGGGGAAAAAAACACTTGAAAACTCATTTACGAACGCTATAAAACTGAATGACAGCATGATATCGTGGCCTTTGTCTGCCACTATCAATGGGCATTTCACATAGCAAAGCACACATAAATATATATACAATAAATCAAATAAACAATAAGCAAAGCTCTAGTGTAGTGAGACCCCGACACAGGCATTGCCAGCAGAATGGAATGGAATATCATGCAATTGAGAGCCGTCTAAATGAATGAGTCGAAAGCAATTAAGGGAGCTGCAGTTAGCAGAATGAAGCTGTCGAAGGCCTAAACCTAAGCAACATAATCGCCGAAACGTGCGGCAATTACATGGATGCTTGAGGAAGTTGAATGCCAAACATCTGCCTCTGCCTCTGCCTCTGCCACGTATATAATTTGCAATGGGAACCCAAGAAAATTCAATTAACAGACTGGGGGGACACAGGCACGTGCCACCGCCAAACACCAAACACACTGACGCTGACGCTGACGCAGACGCCCGACGCTCCCGACTATAAAACTCTATAGACATGAACAAAAACCCATCTCTGTACTCCATGTGGAGGGCCCACTCAGACGGACTGACGCAACATCCCAGCTCATTCATTCGTACTCGGCATCGTACTTCAACTCGTACTTGCCACTCGTAATAGATGAAGAATCATCAGTCGATTACAGCACTCTTCCTGCTGCCGCTGCTCCTTTGGCTAATCATAATGGGAGAAGGGCAATCGCAAACTCAGGACTGGAAAGATCAGATCGAACTCGATGACGACACTTCCGATGATGAGACGATCATGGAGCGTCGCTGGCAGATTGGCTACGAGCAATATCGCATTCTCTGCGAGAAGTTTACAGAGAAGAAGAAGGAGGAGACTTCTCCAGTGAGCACTCGAATCGCTGGCGGGGAGCTGTCCGATGCGGGAATGTTTCCCTATCAAGTGGGTCTGGTTTTGCAGCTGAGCAACGGAGATCTCATACAGTGTGGGGGATCCCTCGTCACTCTGCAATATGTGCTGACCGCGGCCCATTGCCTGACGGATGCCATCGCTGCCAGGATTTATCTGGGCGCGCTGCAGCTAGCCGAAAGAGGAGCTGCGGCGGAGGAGTTCCTCGTGCCACACAAGGAGTTCAGGATATATCCAGGCTACCTGGGTTTTGGCGCCTACAATGATCTGGCATTGATACGCCTGCCCAGACCTGCCACAGCCTCAGCTCGAGTGCAAATCATCGCCTTGGCGGGTGAATTTATGCAACAAAAGTTCCTCGAGCTGCAGCCAGTGACCGTTTCGGGCTGGGGCAGCTTGGGTGACTCTGCCGTGGAGCGTACCCGGCTGCTGCACTATCTGGACACGGAGGTGCTCGACCAGGAGCGCTGCATGTGCTCCTTCCTGCCCGGATTGGTTAGCACGCGGCGGCACCTGTGCACCGATGGACGGGGCGGACGTGGCGCCTGTGGAGGCGACTCTGGCGGCCCACTGGTCTATCAGTGGCAAAATGTCAGCCACCTGATTGGGATAACCTCGTTCGGTAGCGTTGGGGGCTGTGAGCTGGGTGCACCGACTGTCTACACCAGGATAACCGCATATTTGCCATGGATCCGACAGCAAACGGGAATGACCAACTAAATGCAATTAACGCCTAATTGTTGGCCATTAATTGCTAAACAATATAGTCGGTCGGTCTGTTGGTCGCTCGGTTGGGTGGCCAGACAATAAAACCAATTTGAGCAGCCCAAGCCACAATGAAATGGAGTCCGAAGTGGGGCGGAGAGAGGAGTGGAGTGAACCTTCTCTTTGGTTAGGTGAAAATGTTACTTTTTACGAGTACTCGAGGGGTGGAATGCCATGGAAATTGTATCGGATAAATAACAATGAACATCAGAAATTTGGGAGCCAATTTGGCCAGCAAGAGAGCACCAACAGGCAACACAATAAAGAGGGACAATAAAGAAGCATTCCCCGTGAATGAAATTCCAATGAATTCAGTGTGGAAATTGAACCTGTCTCTTCGTTTTTGATTGTCCGCGTGAGTACTTCCTCTTTGTTATATTTTTGGTGGCTAATCGTCTTTAATTGGCCACCTGAATGGGCCATTAACCGCAGCTCTGCGGCTGTTGGCAACGCGTCGACAAATCACGCGGCAATTGTCCGACATGAGGGCCTGCGGTTGATTTCTGCGGTTTGCAAGAACAACTGTACTTTTGATTTATTATAAACAAATAAGAGGCAAACAGAGTGAGAGAGGGCGGAACATTGCACTCTCCCGTACTCTAGATAAAACAATCGCTGATTGATTAATTGAGCGTTTTGATTGTAAAATCGCACACAAGACACTAAAAGCTACCGAAATCAGAGAAAAAATTCACTCGGATGGTGCTTTATTTTTGAGAATTTAGAGCTTAACTCTAGAGCTACCCTTCTGGCACACATCCACCCATCTGCCCACCCATCTCTTGCTCCTGACCTTTAACAACGCCCAAAGTAAACAGCAAAATGACAAGAAAGCCAACGGAAACCACAAGCTTAGGCTCGGACTGCGTCTCTCTCTCTCGTTTTGCCTTCTAAGAGTGCGAAAAGATAAGATAGTTGGGCGGAGCATGGGCAGAAGCACCTCTGTAAGACCCACAAAGTCTGATACGAGGCGAAGACGTCATCGTCACACGTCTAGAGCAGAGCCCTTGCTAATTCTACATATATATTTTCGATAAAACTAATCAAATTAATTAGCAGCCAGGCTGTAGATCCGCGAAGCTCACCTGGAGCAGAGTCCCTCTGCCAGATTAGATGAGAATTTCGATACCAACCAATCCTCTTTTTTCGGAGCATTTTGGGGCCGCGTGCCCAAAGTCTTGCTCAAATCTTCAATCGATATCTTGCGCACAAATCTCCACAGATAGCGGGCACTGAGAACCGATGATGTCTGTGGCCCACCCATATCTAATCGAAGGCAAAAGGCTCTATTTGCGAAATGCAACCTAATCGCGGAACGTACAACTATTGGGTGCTATAAAAGAGCCGTACTCTGGCATGAAAGATCAGTTGAGTGCCTTTGACTGAACACCCAACAATTCCAAAATGAGATTCCTGATCATTCTTGCCTTGGCTGTGGCCGCTTCGGCTCTTCCCGAGCCCGAGCTGGTGCACCGTGACCGTGTGATGCCCGTTCAGGATAGCATCGAGGGTCGCATCACCGGAGGAAGCACCGCCTCAGTCGGTCAGTTCCCCTACCAGGTGGGACTATCCCTCAAGCTGAACGCTCTCTCCAGCGCCTGGTGCGGTGGCTCTTTGATCGGCAACCAGTGGGTGCTCACCGCTGCTCACTGTACCGATGGGTGAGTGTTCTACTAAGGATATCTAAGGAGTCCAAGTACTAATCAATGTATTTCCCTTTGCAGTGTTCAGTCCGTGACTGTCTATCTTGGTGCCACCGTCCGTACCTCTGCTGAGGTTACCCACACCGTTGCCAAATCCCAGATCATCATCCACTCTGGCTGGAACACCGCCAACCTGCGCAACGACATCTCCCTGATCAAGATCCCCGTGACCTCGTACAGCTCCAAGATCCAGGCTGCCAGGATCCCAGCCATTGCCAACTCCTACTCCACCTATGCCGGTGATTCCGTGATCGCCTCCGGCTGGGGCCGCACCTCCGATTCTGCCTCCGGCGTGGCCACCAACCTCCAGTGGGCCAAGATGCAGGTCATCACCAACTCCGTGTGCGCTAACACCTACGGCACCTCCATTGTCACCGCCTCCAACATCTGTGTGTCCACCCCCAACGGTGTGTCCACCTGCAACGGCGACTCCGGCGGCCCATTGGTCCTCGAGTCCTCCAAGGTCCAGGTTGGTCTTACCTCCTTCGGCGCTGCTGCCGGCTGCCAGAAGGGCTACCCCGCTGCCTTCACCCGCTTGACCAGCTACTTGGACTGGATCAAGAGCAACACTGGCATCTCCTACTAAATCTGGAGGGGAAGTCATTGAATGACTTGAATTTCGCATAAATATACCAAAAAAGAAACGTAAAGCCACGCTCGCTGTTTTAATTATTCTGTTACAACAATGAAACTGCCTTGAAGTCCAACTGGAATGAAAATAGTTGATCTGTTAGATTAGTGGCAAACAAAATACTTGATATTCCCCAAGGAGATCGACGATCTGTGCCCTACATTAACGAATGTCAATCTATCTTTTGTAAAAAGCGGACTTTGAATTTACTTGCATAGACATATAGGGAGTAACATTTTTGCCGATGCTCATGTGCAGAGTACGAATCTCACTGAGAGATAGCCGCAACAATATGCCCCATTTTGTTTGAACTGCGCGCATAAATAACTAAAAATATTAATCAAAACAATATTTTGTAGTCACGTTCCAACCAATATGCCTATCATCCGCATAAGTCTCCGGAGATAACGCACTGAGAAATTTGGTACGGTGTTGTCTGTGGAACGTGCCAATCTAATCGAAGGAACTCTATTTATGAAATGCAAAATAAACTTTAGTGCTAGCGCACCTACACGGAGTGTGGCGCTATAAAAGCGTCATTTAAGGAAATAGCAGATCAGTTGAATTCCTTTCTCTAAACACCCAACAAATCCACAATGAAATTCCTGATGATTTGTCCTGTCCCTGACTGGATCAAGGCCAGCACTTACATCTCCTATTAAGCCTGAAGCAGCACCAGTAGGAGCAGTCAATGAAGGACTTGAAATTCGCATAAATATAAAAAAGATTGCCAACAAATGGCTGTCAGCATCTGCGTTTTCGTTTTCCTCCTGTCTGGAAGCTCCAATGAATTCCAATGGCCACATGAAAAGTTTAAATTGACATTAAACGACAATTGCAAGTGTTTTGTCATGCAAATGGGGCAGGGGCAGTGGCAGTGGCAGTGGCAGTGGCAGGATGTTACGGGAGCGCCACATGCACGGCACGCTCTCGGCACTCGGCATTCGGCACATAAGTTTTCATTAAAATTCATTAAATTTTCACAGCGACACAATAAAAGCGGCGAACAACTTGAGGGGCGAACAATAAATAAAAGAATAAAAGTTTCCCTCAAGTGAAAGTTGAGCTAAAAAAAAACGAGAGAGAGAGAGGGAAAGTAGGCGTGGCAGGGCGGCAATATGTCAGCACTTAAATTATGACAGCAGATTTAAATGAATGGCAAAAGTTAAACATTTATTCGAGGCAGACTTTAAAGAGGAGTTTGCCTATTTTTTCAGCTTAATTTTCTTCAGTGCATGCCACATGCCACATGCGTGTAAGTTCCACCAAAGATGATGGGGTGTAGGAGATCAGGTGGTTGGCTCTGCGTTGCCCAAAGACCATCTGGTCCTGCGGTTGGAATAAAAAGCATTTACTCAACGGACGACCCAAATGACAAAAAACAGAAACAGAAGCAGAAACAGAAGCTGAAAGAGTTCCTGAAAACGGTGGCACTGCCGAAACAACATATAAAGAGCTTCAGTGAGGGGAGGAGAGTATGGTCCCAAGGCTAAGGTTTAGGGGAATCCCAGCCATCCTGATAAATGTTTGCATTGCGGAAATTTATGACAGCACAAAAAGTTTCCAAGCACTCGTACGAGAGTATTCATATTTTGTGGTTTTAGATATGACAAAATATCATGGAGACTCGCACAACTAAAGGACCTGGATCTGCATAGAACAGTATGGGGAGTGCGGGCAGGGGCAAGCTACAAAGTTAGTTAAAATGTCAACTTTTGGGCGGGGTTGGGAGTGTGTTTATGGTCAAAGTTTTTCATCTGTTTAAAATCCACTTTGGCTCTGATTGAACGCTTGAATGTTCGCTTCGTTTTCGTTTCGTTTTTCACTCCTTTTTTTTGCTTTTCTTGGCCACAAACTTCATTGCTTTGCTCTGATTGAGATGGACTTCGACAAAGTCAAAGCCAAAGCCAAAGCCTCTCCACCCAAATGCCATGACAGTCACTTGGTCAAGCAGTTTTCTCTGATTCATTTTATTGGCAAAATATTTGGCCAGCCTGCGGACACACAGACAAAGTGCGGCACAGAGCAGAGCTCTAGTTTCAGTTTTAGTTCTCCTCCAGTTATCCAGTTCTGTTTTGTGGCTGTGTGGCAGACACTTCATATGGATGCACTTTAATTTGGTTATTTGTCAACTGGCACCTATGGGGCTACTGGCTACTGGCTGCTGTCTGACCCACTTTCACAGAGCGAACACGAACACCGAGGAGTCGTCACACAGAATTAAATATTTAGTTCGTTTCTTGATCAAATCAATGCGAATGTTGGCTACTAAAGTACTAATCACAGAGCGAAATCAATTAACAAACTGTCGGCTCATCAATTATGCCAAACCCACGGCCCCCCTCTGTCTGTGTCTGTGTGTCTGCCTGTCTGAGTGTGTGTTGGGAGCTGCTTTTTGACTGGAGAGTCAATAAACGCAATCCAGGCTAATAAATTCCAGTCGCTTCAAAGCAATCAACTTAATTAAGGACTTTTTGAATGGCATGGGCAGTGCCACATAATTAATTAAGGCGAGTTAGGGGTAAAAAAAAAGAAGGCCAGACGCATGCTAGTCAGCATGTATTGGGGTCACCTCTAGGTGCTCTCTCTGACCCTTGAGCTTTAATCCTAATCATCATACTCGTACACACACATATGATAGAGAGCCCAATGACCAGCAATATTTGATAGACAACTTTTGACTGGCATTTCACTTAACCCTTTTTGTGTTGACTCTGTGACACTCTGTGAGTGATGTTCGGCTAATTAAGTGCCCAGCAATTACGATTGCTTCAGCACTTCTCTGTCGCTCGGCCGACTGACAGCCAACACAGAAAGTGTTTCTAACAAAAAGCCAACCACCAACTGCCCTCCCCCCTTGGCTCCCCCCTGCCACTGCACGTATCGTTCACTTAATTCATTTAACTCAAACATTTTCATTTATTTATCGCATTACTCGCTGGAAACCCGAATACCCGAATACCACCCGGATCCCCGGCAGTAACCGCCAAAGAC